GTCATTTCTAGGCGCCTTTTATTTTAGTATATAAGCCCGGCAAATAAAGCGGAGATATAATTGCAGATAGACAGATATAGAGACAGATAATTGAGTCACGCGGGCGGTAGTGACGGAAATATAAAGTGTGTGAATCGTTGTGAATTATAGCGTGTGTTTAAGTTAAAGTGACTGTGGAAATTCTGTGTATTACAAAGTTTGTAACGAGAAAGAATAAACTAGTTTTAATTAAGAAAGGACTTGTATCGCTGAAGTTTCTCGGAAATAATTTTTACGGGAAATTATCAAACAAGCAGATACGTAACAGTATCTTTAGTGACAGTTGTCTTTTCACGACAGAAACTTGCTACAATTGTAGACCAATCTCTCGTACTGACTCGTGTGTAGCATCTGTGAAACCAAAACTCATTTCAACAGGCTGAAATTTTCCTGAATTAATCATAAGGTGAGGTAACTTTGATTTTCCAATTCCAAACAAAGCACTCGTACATAGCGTGTATCAACGGAGCGGTGCTTTTCCAATAACTTTTAGCATTGCGACGATATTTCTTTTCACGGATGGCCTACATTTTTCTTCGTATTTCTTATTAATCTTATTCATTTTGACTTGATACAACAATAATACTAATATACCCATGTAGCCTGCTAGCTTTCAGATACAACAATAATACTAATATACCAATGTGGCCTGCTAGCTTTCAGGTACAACAATAATACTAATATACCAATGTGGCCTGCTAGCTTTCAGATACAACAATAATACTAATATACCCATGTGGCCTGATAGCTTCCAGATACAACAATAATACTAATATACCCATGTGGCCTGCTAGCTTCCAGATACAACAATAATACTAATATACCAATGTGACCTGCTAGCTTCCAGATACAACAATAATACTAATATACCCATGTGGCATAGCTTCCAGATGCAACAATAATACTAATATACCCATGTGGCCTGATAGCTTTCAGATGCAACAATAATACTAATATACCCATGTGGCCTGATAGCTTTCAGATGCAACAATAATACTAATATACCCATGTGGCCTGATAGCTTCCAGATACAACAATAATAGCTAATATACCCATGTGGCCTGATAGCTTTCCAGATACAACAATAATGCTAATATACCAATGTGACCTGCTAGCTTCCAGATACAACAATAATGCTAATATACCCATGTGACCTGCTAGCTTCCATTTCATCGTGGCATCAGAATCGCTCTCACACTCGCCCTCACTCCACAAGTATATATTTTTTTCTTTATTGTGCAAAAAAGACTGACTTGTCTGCAAAAAGAAGAGATTTACATGCGAAAATGAAGGTTTGTAATTTACTTGCACCTACACTGTTGTTCCTTAATTTTCGTGATGACGGAAACATAGCTATAAAAAAGAACTGTAACGTGCCCGTAATGATCCCGTCGTAGCTTTCCAGAGCGCTGCCGAAAGTACCAGATCACGGCCATATTACCCCGTGAAGATATACATAAACTGACATCAGATACAAGAGAAGACTTCACATTGCCATCTGTACTTAAAATGTTCTTCATTGTTTATCCAGAGTTTACTTAAATGCTGCTTTATTTGTCTTCCTTGAAAGATTCGTAGAAAAATCGAAGATCGTATCGGTCAAATAATACAGTACAGCTAATCTGTGTTTGACGTGTATGAACAGCTCTCATCCACTGGCAAATGTTGATTATTTTCTAATGAATTATTGTTGATTAATTAAAAGATAAGAATTATATATATAGTTTTTCTGAAATAATGAACAATTCGTACCAATTATTTCTCCATTTAAAGGAACAATTTTTAACACCTAACGTATACTACTGCTTAGCATGTTGCTCAGTTTCTTTCAGCTAACCCCTAATTTTGAATTATTTAGGTTGTAGCCTACCGTCGCTACCAAACTTGCACGTTATTAAGTTGAATTCCAGCTAATCTTTTCACAGCTACCAACCCTTTTTTTTTTTAGGAACTGGAAACTCAGCCCTGCTAAATTCGTGACGTAGTAGCTGATTGGCTGTAGCGTCTGCCCACTAAGCGCAGCCATGACCCTGTTTCTAATGCAGTATTACTTTAAAAACTTGTTAAACGATGAATTTCTCAGAATGGAAGGTCACATTTAAAATTTCTGTATTTGACGAATCGCACTGCTGAGTCATGACATTCAACAAGATCGTAGGGCTGGGCCTGGTCTAGTGGTTAAAGTACTGGATTATAGATCTGAGTGTCTGTGGTTCGAACTAACTAACAAACTAACAATACAAGTATGAAGACTGTATGAAGAGTACCTTGATTTAAGAGTATGGCAAACTGACATAAAACAAGTATGAAGACTGTGTGAAGAGTACCTTGATTTAAGAGTATGGCAAACTGACATAAAACAAGTATGAAGACTGTATGAAGAGTAGTACCTTGGTTTAAGAGTATGGCAAACTGACATAAAACAAGTATGAAGACTGTATGAAGAGTAGTACCTTGGTTTAAGAGTATGGCAAACTGTCATAAAACAAGTATGAAGACTGCATGAAGAGTACCTTGGTTTAAGAGTATGGCAAACTGACAAAAACAAGTATGAAGACTGTATTGTTTAGGAATATGGCAAGATAACAAAAACAAGTATAAATATTGTATGAAAAACACTGATTTAGGAATATGGTGAACTGATGGATTTATACAGTTAGTTATAGTTTTATGCTCCAGTAGGTTAATATTTTAGCTAAAAAGTGTCATTCTCTCAAGTATATTGGCCTAAATATTTCCAAATGTACTGGTTTACGGAACAATTACAACTTTAAATATAATATTTAATATTGAGTTTATTCGCTCTTCTAGAAAACATTAAGTGATTTATGGAAATAGACGACTGATTCTGCATCATGTTAACATGAAAAGGCCGTTGTTATTTTTTGTACTTGTATAGATTACAATGGACAAACTATGTGTGGATTAAATGACAACGTTTATCCATTGTAACGTTCACGAGTCCACAGAATAAATTCTATGCAAATATCCAAACGAAGAAACAAGGTTTCAGTGTTTTAATGTAAACTTTTACATGAAACAATTCTTACAATACGTTTATATTACTTCGCAGTCTGCAGAAATTGATGAATCCTCTGCGAATTTGTTCAAAAACCAAGTTCAAATTCCGATGAACCTAGGCACGAGTATTATGTTAGCAGCTATAGTGCTAGGCAGCATGTGGACCATAGTAGCATTAGCAATTACGGCGTACTACTGTAAACAAGTGAGTATCTTTGATATGACAAGCTATTTGTTTGTTTTCTGTAAAATTATTAAAATGTTTTAATATATATTGTAGCTTATGTAGAGTTTTCACAACACTAAGAGTAGCTTAAAACTCTGTTATATTTTTATTAATGTTACATAATTATCGAATTCGTAATTACAGAGGGTTTAAGACACGGTCGTTGACGTCACATTCTCACAAAAAACGCTTGCGAAGACCGTATTATTTCACGGCTCTCGAGGATATAGTTCTAATTGTTTGATATTATTAGTATATCATTTTAATAAAATTATTTAACAAGCTTGATATATAAATCACTTAAACTGCAGATGTTTTTCACATTTCTTTTAATTTGTCAACTTTGGATTCAAGTTCAGGATCATGCGAAAATAGCGTTTCGGATCTATCTTTTGCTTCCCTGCTCGAGATACAGGATATTGTTATAATATATGATAAAGAGAATGCCTAGTAAGTACGTGTTCAGACTTCTTGGATCGAGAATGCCTAGTAAGTACGTGTTCAGACTTCTTGGATCGAGAATGCCTAGTAAGTACGTGTTCGGACTTCTTGGATCGAGAATGCCTAGTAAGTACGTGTTCGGA